TAGTGCTATTGGAAATTTCAAATTAGGTGAAGAGTCACCAAAGTTACCAACCTCTCTAGGTAATTGGAGGGGTCAGCTTTCACTGAGCAATTCAGTGAGTGAAAACCCGGCTAAGCTCAACTTGGACTTTGGAAGTGGTGAATTTAGTGAAGTTGAGCTGAAAAAGATCGCGGCGGATGAGAGGCTTGCAGAAATTGCGTCATCAGACCCGAAACGTGCAAAGAGGTATGTGGCCAACGAATTATTTTTCTAAAGCATTCTCATGTACGTTAAAACATTAATTCTGGGAACATTCTACGCCTTTTATCATTTTGTCTCAGGATATTGGCTAATCGTCAGTCAGCTGCTCGTTCCAAGGAGCGGAAGGTGCGTTATATCTCGGAATTGGAACACAAGGTGCAAACTCTTCAAATGGAAGCGACCATGCTGTCATCCCAACTTACTGTTCTACAGGTGTGTAGTTGAGGACTGATGCAATTTCCTTTAGTTATTTCAGTTGATTTTAATCATTTGGTAATTGACACTTTTGTTTCTTTTCAGAAAGATCATACTGAGCTAACAGTTCAGAACAATGAATTGAGATTCCGCCTTCAATCTCTGCAGCAACAAGCCCAACTTAGAGATGGTATTCCATTTTCTTCCACAATTACATTTGTCTATATTTACCTGATATCTGAATGCACAAATTTCACCTAGATGCGCATGTGTTTGCAGAGTATACTTTTGCTGACGTATGAGCTACTTTCATAATTTTAAGTCTTTCTATGGTTATGTTATTAGCATCATCTTATCTGAGTTCTGATATGAGTGATAAAAGTTTATCTGTTGTCTTGATTTTTGTTCCCATGAAGGTACTTCTTATTTACCCTATCGGATGGATTATGCATGTGCTGCTTGATTTTGTTGTCTTTTTTTTTTTCTTTTGGTAGTTGGTCTTACTGAAATCACTTCAGCAAGAAAGCTGTGGAATGATATTATAATAAGAAACATTTTTTATTTCAGATGATGAAATAAAATAAAATCATTATT